CTTGTTGTTTCATATCCATTTCAATCCTCATGGCTTGGTGCTTTGAAATTTCCTCCAAAAATTTAGATGCATTCTTCGTAGAATTACTCCCTCTCTTCGCCTTCACCGCTTTCCTCCCAATAGGCCTAGGCTCCCTTTCGATAGGTGAATCTTGACTCATCGGGAAATCCATAGGTGAATCCGATGTCGGTGTCTCATGGAGTGGCGTTTCGTTCAACACCACCTCTGGACCCGTTAGAATAATTTGGAATCTCTTACAATTCTTCACTGCCTCCCAACATTGGATATGAGTGAAGCTTTTTTTGCCTTGCCCAGTAGCACCAAACCACATTTGTGCTTGCATAATCTATAAAAAAAAATAATGGAAATGCAACAAACTTTAAAAAATATTGTCAATGCAACATGTATAAAAAAGAAAATAATGGAAATGCAAGAAATTTTAACAATTTATTAGAAATGCAATAAATATTAACAAAATATAAATATTGCAAGAAATATTTAAATAAATATTGGAAATACAAGAAATATCAATAAAATATATAAATTGCAAGAAACATTTAAATAAAAATTAATGAAATAGAAATTAATAAAACTAAAATTACAAATAATTTACCTCATTGCTAAGGTTTTCCCCACTTCTATGGTTGTTCATCGCCAAGGCATCTCTCCATTTCGCCAACTCTTTATTAAGAATTTTCCACCTACTAGATAATGCCATTTCCGTACGGGTCGAACCCATTGCCCTTTCACAAAATTCCTGATGAATTTTTTTCCACATATGACAGAATTTCATTTCATTACCCGTTACGGGACAATGACTAATTTGGACCCAACACTCACACAACAAAACATCTTCCATCATGCTCCATGCCCCTCCAATTTCATTAGAAGAACCCATAATATTTCCTAGAGAAAAATACAACTTGAAAGGGAAAAAACTTAATATTGAGTAGAAGGAGAAGAAAATGTATGAGGATTTGGTGTTAAAAGTGAAGAGTATTTGTTGGTATTTATAGAAAATAAATTCAGTATTTTTTTGGAATTTTTTTAAAAAAAATTCAATTTTTTTTCAATTTTTTATTGCACAAAAAATCGGAGCCATTGGATTGCTGGAAAAAATCGAATCGGAGAGCCCAGCTTGCGCCACGTGGAAGAGAGCTGTTGGGGGATTGTAGCGGGGCGCGTCAAATTTTTACACGCGCCAACGTTAAAAAAATTTGAACGCCAGGACTGACATCAGCTGAAAACGAGTTTTGGCCCTCGGGCCAGCCCAGTTCGCTGGGTCCCACAGCTTGCCCAAGCTGGGTTTTGTTGCTGGAAACGAGTTTTTGGGCTTGCCCCCCCCTAGCCCTCCCCTTGCCCTTGCTGCTGGAGTTGCTCTAAGGAACAATAAGTCTGGGTATGCACACCCTACACATATCCTTAAAGATTAACTGGTTCACAGTAGCAGGAGCAGTAACCCAAGTATGGAGACCCAAAGGCTTGGTGATTCCAATAGAAGCAAGCATATCAGCAACATAATTGCTTTCTCTGAAGACATGATGAATACGACAAACACCACCAGTCATGATAGCTTTACAACTAGAGATAAGAGTGAACAATGGGTGAAGAGGGTCACAACTAGGCGCATTCACAAGATCCACCGCCAAACAGGAATCAGACTCCACAATAAGGGGAAAATAATTAGAATGGTTAGCAAGCCGCAATCCATAGAGGATGGCCCATAACTCAGCTTGTAAAACAGAACCCCTCCCAATATTAGCAGAGAAACCACCAACCCAGTCCCCATTGGCATTTCTGATTACACCACCAACACCAATAATCCCTTCCTCACCTTTCCTGCAGCCATCAGTATTTAGTTTCCACCAACCAACAGGAGGAAAATTCCAAGTAATAAGGACATCAACCTTAGCAGCCTTCCAATTGGTTACCAAATTGGTATATATCCACTCATTGGCAGCTCGACAAACATAGATACCAGAAAGAGAAGTGAGGGACTGATTATCTTCAAAAGCCTCAATGCAACGGTTTTTCCATATGTGCCACACAACAAAACCAAACACAACATTCCATTGCAATTGGTTATAACAGCTCTTACCATCATTCAAATTAAAGAACATCCAATCCCACAGATTAAAATTAAAGGATTGCCGGATAGACTCACTAAGACCCATGGAATTCCAGACCAACATGGCATTGGGGCAAAGCCTGAGAAGATGGGAAATAGATTCAGAAGGCCACTTACAGATATGGCAACAAGCATTAAGAGAAAGACCTTTATTCCTTCGAGCTTCATTAGTAAGAATTCTGCCATGGCACAAAGTCCACAGAAAAGTTTTAATTTTGGGGGGGAGGTTCAGGTTCCAGATGAAATCCCATTGCCAATGGTCCACACAATCATCCTGGATAAGAGCAAAATAAGCAGAGCTCACAGAGAAACGACCATTAGAGTTTGCAGCCCAAATAAGTTTATCAGTAACCACACCAGGGCCTGACACATGGATACAAGATATCTTGGTGACAATCTCAGTAGGGAGCCATATGTTAAGTTTAGGAAAATTCCATTCACCATTAGTAATGAAATCATTAACCTTCTCCTGCAAATGATCAAGAGTAATGGGGTGGCAAGCATACCTTTGGAGCGACTCAGTATCAACCCAAGGGGTTGTTTTTGTAGGTATGCTTATTTATTTATTTATTTTTGGTCTGAATCACGAGATGGTCCTGGATGGGCCCCATAATTTATTTATTTTTAGTCTGAATCACGAGATGGTCCTGGATGGGCCCCAATTATGGGTGGCACCTTTAAGTCTTAATCACAATCCAGACTAATCCCCGCTCACACCGGGTCGGCCCGTAAGGGATAAAGTGCTTGCCAAAGTGGTGACTCCATACAAGAGCAGGGATCAAACCCCTGACCTATCTTAAGGAATGAGAGTGCCGAACCACTTACACCAACCACCTTGGTTGGTATGCTTATTTTTTGGTTTTTTTTCTCCTTTTGGTTTTTAACCTGTTCAATCTTCTTTTTATGGTATGTTTATTAATCTGTAATCGGGATTAAGAGAAATTGAATTGAGTATGAATTAAATTGAGGAAAATTTAGAATTCAATTAAACTGTTTATTAAACTATGTAGAATCGAGATAAGAATGGTATTGATTAAATTGTTTATTAAATTATCATAAATCAAAATTAAAACTAATTTAATTATTAAAATGCACCTATTTTAAAGAAATTATTCAAGTAAAATATGATTTATTGATGAATTAGTTCTACATGAATACCGCCTCCTCTAGAATTCCTCATTAGTTGAATTCAAGCCATTATAGGAACCTGTTACCTGTCTCTATTTAAAATCCACCGCAAAATATCTTCTGAGTCATCTCTTCTCGTCTTTGACGACAACGCGAGCGACCATGGACATGATCATTGAGACCGACAAGGAAGGTTACGCTGAGCTTTTTGTGAAGTGGTACGAGGATACAGAAGTCCTTCAGATGGTGAAGAAGAGGTTAATTTTCCCCTCCACTAAGAACTAGGATCCAGACAGACATACGAGAATCCCGAAATCCTCCAAATATTCAAGAAGATGTTTGGCCCTTCACTGTACGAAGATGTCATGCCTGACCCCACCTCGTTCCTCAGTCGCTGCCCTAAAGGCTTCGGTACATACCTTTCTCTCTAATGCTCCAAATATTCAAAGAAGATGTTTGACTCCATTCCAATCCAATCGAATAGGAGTTGATGGGCCCAGAAGAATTAATATACTAGTAATAATATGGTAAAGCTCATTCCGAAGGCCAACCTCGCTTAATATGAATATCCCATTATGATCATATTCATAGCAATCCATAAAACATAGGTGGTCCATAATGGAAAGTTTTTATTTCTGTATATGCAGCCAAAGTTTGAAATGTGACTGAATCATTTAGTTCACGGATATACTTTCACATTCACACTGATTCCCCTCAATGTCAATGTAGACCCTGAAATTAGAAACTTCACTTGATAAATATTCATAACTTAGAATCTTATTTAACAATCAGACTGTAAAACTCAGAAACACATTGTGCTTTCATATTCAAATCCTAATAAGAATCTAAATCCTACGTACATGGTTTTTTGTTTTAACTTGATGTGCAACAATTAGATTGATAGAGAAAGACCATAAAAGAAAATAAAAAATTCCATTATTACTTAAACCATTCTTGATTTATTTTTTTATAATGACTAATAATACTTTAATTGTTTAGAAGAATAAATATGTTCTTACCAATGAGCCTTTGCATTGTTTCGTGCAGAAACGGATTTGCGGCTAGTCCGGTGGGGCCAGGATCCAGACATACTCGACATGGTCCATAAGGGGGGGGGGGGGGGGGGACTCGGCGGGTCTCACATCGTGAGCCTTCCCCAGTCGTCGTAATTACCTGTTGTCAAAATCATATGCTTACAAACTAAAAAATTCGCAGCTTACTTATAGTTTTCTACTTGTTCAGTTCCCAATATATAAAATACTTCTAACACTCAATATTCTCACCCTCTCCTTTTCCACTCTTTCCCAGCTAGCAAATAGACCACATTCTCAAAAGTTCAAAGCTTAATACTTCCACGGCAAAGAAGATGAGACTAAAACCAAACGGGTATTGAAAGTTTGAACTGAATTCAGAGGTTTTAAGGTTCAAACCTCTAATAGGAGAGGGCCATGTCCGGCCTTCGATGCGCTTGATACCATAAACCAGCAAAGAAGCCCATGGCTGGTGCATAGTCAAACATGGGTTTCTGTAATTCCCAGAAGAATGCCCTCTTCTCATCTCTGTTTCTTTGATTCTTCAGAAGGGAAAGCCTTCTTTTTTCATGTTTGAGGCGACAGCAGACAAGACTAAAGTGGGAAAATCACACGTAGGGGTTGTTTTTGTAGGTATGCTTATTTTTTGGGTTTAACCAGTTCAATATTCCTTTTATGGTATGTTTATTAATCTGTAATCGGAATTAAGAGAAATTGAATGGAGGAAAATTTAGAATTCAATTAAACTGTTTATTAAACTAGGTAGAATCTAGATAAGAATGGTATTGATTAAATTGTTTATTAAATTATCATGAATTGAAATTGAAATTAATTTAATTATTAAAATGCACCTATTTAAAGAAATTATTAAATTAAAAAATGATTTATTAATGAATTAGTTCTACATGAATCCCGCCTCCTCTAGAATTCCTCATTAGTTGAATTCACGCTATTATAGGAACCTGTTACCTGTCTCTATTTAAAATCCACCCCAAAATCTCTTTTGAGTCATCTCTTCTCGTCTCTCTGACGACAGCCCGAGCGACCATGGACGTGAACATGATCATTGAGACCGACAAGGAAGGTTACGCTGAGCTTTTTGTGAAGTGGTACGAGGATCCAGAAGTCCTCCAGATGGTGAAGAAGAGGTTAATTTTCCCCTCCACTGAGAACTAGGATCCAGACAGACATACTCGTTATATATATCTCATTTAATTTTAATTCTGTGTTTGCATAGGGTTGTAAAAGCCATATCAATGATGGATATCGACAACGTGAACAACGGCGTCGCTGATACGCCAAAGCAGAAATTGAAGTGGTACGAGAATCCAGAAATCCTCCAAATATTCAAGAAGATGTTTGGCCCTTCACTGTACGAAGATGTCATGCCTGACCCCACCTCGTTCCTCAGTCGCTGCCCTAAAGGCTTCGGTACATACCTTTCTCTCTAGTCCTTTTTTACGGTTTAGTTTATGATTCTAAGATTTTGGGTGAAGTCACTCTTTGTTTAATTCGTTTGACTCCAATCGAATCGAATCGAATAGGAGTTGATGGGACCAGAAGAATTAATATACTAGTAATAATATGGTAAAGCTCATTCCGAAGGCCAACCTCGCTTAATATGAATATCCCATTATGATCATATTCATAGCAATCCAGAAAATAAAACATAGGTGGTCCATAATGGAAAGTTTTTATTTTTGTATATGCAGCCAAAGCTCAATGTCTATGTCGAGTCTGAAATTAGAAACTTCACTTGATAAATATTCCTAACTTCATATTCAAATCAAATCCTAATAAGAATCTAAATGATGTTACTTCTCCAGTACTTTGCTTCTCATTTTGGACTTCTACGTACGTGGTAATTAGATTGATAGAGAAAGACCATAAAAGAAAAGGAGAGGTCTTTTGACCATCTTCACTAGAAGCCTATCTCCAGATATGAGAAGAATGTTGAATGACCCAGATGAGAGAAGGTGAACAGAAGAAGACCACCAAACTGAGAAATGAAAACAACATGTTTGAAATAGAAATAAAATTACTTAACTATTTCAAATTCTTTAGAGTTGACTACAATGTGAAATTAATGACTTACTATGAGGGTACCTCCATACAACTTACAAGTGAAATTAAACTATTTCATTTTAGGCTTTTCTTTTTCAAAAAGGAAAGAAAAAATTCCATTATTACTTAAACCGTTCTTGATTTATTTTTTAATTTTTTTAATTTTTTTATAATGACTAATAATACTTTAATTGTTTAGAAGAATAAATATGTTCTTACCAATGAGCCTTTGCATTGTTTCGTGCAGAAACGGATTTGCGGCTGGTCCGGTGGGGCCAGGATTCAGACATACTCGACATGGTGCGTAAGAGGATGTTTGAGCCTCCTCTGAACGAAGATGGAAAGCCTGAAGGGATCACATTTTCTTGCTACTTCCCTGAATGCTATGGTACCCCTCCTCTCTTGCTTTTATTCATCTTTTTTTTGTTAGTCTGCTCAGTCACTTGGGGAAAAAGAAAAGGAAATTGTTGAATTTTTGAGTTATGATTATGAGATTTTGTGTGAAATCAGGCTTTGGAAGATAATCTCCCTTGTTTTTTGTTTACAAGGGAGAATCTAAATAAACGTCTCGTGTGGGTAATGCAAGTAAGATAGAAGACCTTTGGGTAGTGTTGGTTTGGAAGAAAGATAGAAGAATCAAGATTTATAAATAAAAAAAATGGAAGAAATACAAAAGAAAAGAGGGGCAGAGATTTTGTCTTGAGTGTTGAATGGAGGAGGGAAGGGCTGGGATGAGGAGAGTGGTCTAAGGGCTGGGATGGGGGATGGTTTGGTCCCTGGGGTGGGATTGTGGGCTGGAACTTATGCTCATGATAAACTCTTCTTCTCTGAAATGGGTTTTTGTCACTGATATCTGACATAACTGTACTTGTTTGTTGGTGTGATTAGCCCACTCAGATGGGGTGATGGGTGAAAGCAACTAGTATGAAATTAAGTGCTTAGCCTGAGGGTACCACCTTAATAGTGAATGGTGTAGTTATTTAAAAGAACGAATTCTTTCTTACCTATGAGTCGTTTCATCTTTTCGTGCAGGAACATATTTGCAAGAAGCTTGGCCGATGGTGAAATCTGCTTTAGAAGAGTATGATATTTCATGCATATTGAATTTGGTATGTCATGATGATAAATGTTGTTTTTGAGAAATATTGATATTTGTGAAATCTATTCTTGATTGATCGGTGGTCAATTCAAATCAACACTAGTACTTATTGTACTTTTTAATGATGGTCAGGTTTTTCATTACATAACAATCAAAACAACCAGGACTACTGACCCAGATATTATTGTCAAGGCCAAGCAACTTGTTGAACTCTTGTCAATACATATTCCTGTACATCAGGTACAAATGGTAGTCCTTTGTTATTCTTTCTCATCTGCATCCTATGAGCTATACTGTGGTTTGAATGAAGTAAGCTGCTGCTAAGGCAGTAAGGTATTTATTTTTGCAGTTTCAATGCGACTCTCGTCTCTTTGAAGGCAATAGCATGCTATTTATATTGGTTGCACCATCGTTTTGATTTCAGGCAATTAGAGTACTGAGTGATATACAATGGGACATCATCAAGATTGGGCTAGGTGGTGGGCTTCGCTCTAAATATGGTATCACGCTGGTGGGTATTACTTATATTGCTTTCCCCGTTTTCTTTTCTTTTTCGGTTGCAGCTGTTTGTCAAGTTTTCTTAAAACAAATCTGATTTATTAAGTGTTATCATTTATAAATGTTGTTTGAAGCATTCATTACATGTAGTTGTGATCCCAAATGGCTCACACCTATCTGTGATTGTGATGCTGGAAATATAACTTCAGTTTTCAACCTCTTTTTATTTTTTTATTGTGTGCAAGATCAATGTACGGAGCGGGTGAAACTCCTCATGCGTCCCTTAAATGTAGGTGCATAAAAGTATTATTATACATCATGCTTTACTAATATGTGACTTGATTAGGTAGGTGCGTGTTTAATTCTTTCTATTTTTCGTTTGTCTAAACTTTGAAAATAAATATAATTGGGATGTAGATACTTGGAGGACTGACGGCCTGCAAGGTGTTTTTTCGTGTAAGTGTTACAGTTCCTCGTTGTGACTTTGATCGTTCAATTGTATTTTATTCTTTGTCTATTTTTCTCTTCTGCTCCTCCCATCCCACCTCCAGAATTATGAATTTAATTTGTCTGTAACTATCAGGAAGACAACATTGCTGTTATGGGTTCACCATTGGGATTTAAGCTAATCAGGAGGATCGTGGTAGATTGCATTGTTCATAAGGTGGATCCTGCGTCTCGTGTGAATGGGATTTCAAAGTTCATGAGTTTCCAAGTGAGGAAGAATCTTGAGGATTTGCATTTGTGAAGAATCTCGAGGATTTTGGAGTTATCTAGAATCTTGATGCTTTCAAGTGAGGATTTATTTAGGGTTATATTATTATTGTAGAAGAAGCTTAAAGTGTTAATTGCACTGACTAATGTGGTTGAGGTTTTGTCATGTTTTTATAAAGTTAATTACTGAGTAATGCTATTTGAAAATTTGAACCATAAGAAAATGAGCGGAGAAATAAAAAAGCTTTATTACCAAGTAAAAGGAAACCCATGAGAAGGCCCAAAGCTTAAAGTGTTAGTTGCCAAGGCCAAGCCTGCTTCCTATATTAATGAATGCTACCAAGCAAGTGTAAATTAATTCAGAACTCCCTTCCTCGCCGATAGTATTCTTTTCTTTTTATAGGAACCTATCAGACCTTATTTTTTGGGTCATTTTTATAGGAACCTACCTATCTAGTATTTAGAAGGGGGGGACACATTACATTTGTAGTAGGATTTGAGGTTTTTCCAGTCATCAAAGGGATTGCGATCATAATTACATATACTAGACACTTTTTAAAAAAATCTGGTTTTGATGTATTTGGCAAGTAAATCTGAACAAGGACAGTATATATATATATATATATATATGCCTTTTATGTTTGAATCAAATGTCAACAAAAACCAAGTTAATATATCTATTAACTCTCAACTCAAGGAAGGTATTTCCTTTACAGCAAAGTTTGTACTAAATTCCCACCCAACACTGAAAAGAACACTTTCATCTTGTAGCAGAAAAAGAAGAAAAGAAAAACAAAAAAAGAATCTTATACTGTTCACTCTTCTGTAGACAAGAAAACGAAAGGAAAAAAGAAAATGAGGGTCACCCATTTTCCCATTTGTTCTCCTCCCTCTGCTCAAACTCAAAAGGCATTTCCCACTTTTTCCCTTCCAACTCCTAAAAACAGAAGAAAGTCTCAAACACCACTCTCCAACGCTGAAACGACACCCTTTTCTACAGAAAACGACAGCCAGAACCCAACCCACCATTCCCCACCAAGGCTCATGCTTTTCTTTCACTCCCTCTCTTCCTCTCCTTCTGCTTCTTCTCTCTTCATGTTTCACTCTTTCAATTATATTCAATAGAGCCGTTGACTTTTCAGTCATTGACCGCACCTAGAAAATGGACCAATCAGTTCTGGACGACATAATCAATCGTCTTCTGGAAGTCCGAGGCCGACCCGGAAAGCAGGTCCAGCTATCTGAGTCCGAGATCCGGCAACTTTGTTTGGCCTCTAAAGAAATTTTCTTGCAACAGCCTAATTTGTTAGAGCTTGAAGCACCCATAAAGATTTGTGGTATTTTTCCTTTGCCAAAATCCTTCCTTTTCTTTCCTCCGTTTTATTTCAGTCTTTCATAGTGGGTTTGTTTCACTTGATTGAACTTTGAATTATTTGCGATTAATTGGAAAACCCGTTTCTTTGATTTGACTAGGTCATCGGTATTTCAAATATTTCATGTGAACCCATTTTCTGTGTTCTTATGTGGGCTCACTCGGTTGTGTTGGTTGTGGATAGCTGTAAATGGGGGCATTTTTAGTTGGTTTATTCCGAGCCTCATGTTTGTTCTTGTGGAATAACCCATGGTAGAATTACTTCATTTAGATGCCTATACAAAATAATTAAGAGCTTCATTCAGGAATTTATGTTAATAAATTATTAAGCCAATGTTGGTACTTTGATATACATCAAGATTATCATTTGTGTGGTTAAAGTCATCTGGTTACTGATTTTGAGCATGACCTTGTTTGACAAACGATATTGTAGATAGAAGTTATCAGAGGAACTATTGAGCTTGACTGCAGGCGTTTGCTTTATGGTATAGTATAGATATGTTTTTAGATAAAAGGTCATTCTTTTTAATCTTTCAGATATTAGAGGGTGTTGCTTAAGATGTTGATACGGGGGGAACTTAGGGTTTATGGGTTCTCTAAATAGTAATAAAAACCTAATCTGAATAATAGCTCTGCTATGCTATTTTAATGATATAAAATAGAGAGCAGGTGCATGATCTCTTTGGAAAGTTGAAGAGACCAAATAATTTAGAAAATTTCAGTCTGATTTCTAAGTTAATCATTCGGATGCTTATCTTGATATTTTAATTACTTATCTGCGTTTTCATATAAATGACTTTAATTTTCAAAGGTTTATTAATGTCATGGATTCTTAAAAATGAACTGTTTATGGTTTTCAGGTGACATACACGGTCAGTACTCTGACCTTTTAAGGCTTTTTGAGTACGGTGGATTACCTCCTAATGCCAATTACTTATTCTTAGGGGATTATGTGGATCGTGGAAAGCAAAGTTTAGAAACAATATGTCTTCTCCTTGCATATAAAATAAAATATCCTGAGAACTTTTTCCTCTTGAGGGGAAACCATGAATGTGCTTCTATAAACCGTATATACGGATTCTATGATGAGTGTAAGAGAAGATTCAATGTGAGGTTATGGAAGACGTTCACAGAATGTTTTAACTGCCTACCTGTGGCAGCTCTGATTGATGAAAAGATCCTCTGCATGCATGGGGGTCTTTCTCCTGATCTGCAGAATTTAGATCAAATCAGAAATTTACAGCGGCCAACTGATGTACCAGACGCAGGTTTACTCTGTGATCTTCTCTGGTCTGATCCCAGTAAAGATGTTCAAGGTTGGGGAGGGAATGACCGGGGAGTTTCATATACATTCGGTCCTGACACAGTGACGGAGTTTCTTCAGAAGCATGATTTGGATCTCGTTTGTCGTGCTCACCAGGTTTTATTGCTTGAATTTTTTTGGTTTCAGTTCATATCCTCTTTACACTTGCAGGACTGTAGGGAATATACCTGTGGGAGCCAAATACCTCTCCTATCAGAATTTATATGGTGATATTGGGGGTTTAGTGTAGTTCTAATTTTTTTGTTTTTTTTTTTGTTTTTTTGTTTTTTTATAAATAAATTCAGAGCAATTTACATCTCTTTGGTATAAGCATGAAGCCCCTGACACTCCCAGACCTCCACTGCTGGTGTAGTGGTATTGGCGAATGTTGCTTCTTTCTTTACAGTCTTGCACCAACTATTGAGGATATGGAATTTTACTTGATTTCAGTGCTTAAACATAATTAGTTATGTTTTCCTTTTACCGATGACAGGTTGTTGAGGATGGGTATGAGTTATTTGCCAACCGACAACTTGTGACAATATTTTCAGCACCTAATTATTGTGGGGAATTTGATAATGCCGGTGCCATGATGAGCGTGGATGAGACATTAATGTGCTCTTTCCAAATATTAAAACCTGCAGATAAAAAGTCAAAATTCAACTTTGGGAGCATGACTACAGCTAAGCCTGGAAATACTTCGACTGGAGTTAATGCTTTTGGGAGCACAACTGCAGCTAAGCCTGGGAACTCTGTAACAGGAATCAAGGTAAATGAAGCATTTTACTCAAGAGAAATTAAATTGTGTTTTGTGAAGGAAGCTTTAGATGGCATGTTAGACATTTACAGATTAAATATTAATTTGCCACTAGTTTGTTCCTGTCACATCATATTGGTGTCTTATGGCTTTAGCTTGCAACATGCCAGTTCTGTGCTTGCTTTTTTATTCTGATTTTGCAAAAGGAAAAGAGAATTCGCTATGCTAGTGTTAGATTTATTAGAGAGTATAACGAAGAAAAATATAATGTGCATAAGAAGTGCATTTGTCCTTTCACGTTTCTTGGATAACATGTAAGCAAATGCTTTGACCTTAATGTTTGTTCTTTTGGATCCATTCATTTGGTTTGATAAAAATATTTAGAAAAATTAAAGTTCTCATCTTGTTCCTAGGAATTTTATGCTATTGTAATTGGTTTCCTATAGTTTTGATTGGTCTAGTGTTTACGACGTTTAAAGAAATTACCTGGTGGATCACCCCTGTTTCACCTACATCAGTTTATATAGAACCATCACTCTGGTTGTCCTGGAATTTATGAAGTTAATTGGACATTATTCCAATATAATGAAACTTCTCTGATAAGCAGATGTTTTCCTTTGCAGAGTTTTGTGCCATGAAACATCTATTGGTGTTCGAAAGAGGAAATTTATCTTTTATGTGAAAAAAAAAAGAAGGGATTACAATCTGATTGGGTTCTTCAGATTCATTCCCTAAACATGGATAAGGATTTTCTCCATGCATAATATTGTGAGTTTAGAGAAAATATTAGCTTTAATATGTCATTTTCCTCCAGTTAGATATTGCTTTTCCAGATAGAGATGGTGTATACCTGCAATCACAGAAATCATTACCTGCAGGCTTCAACCAGTGAGAATATTTCTTGTGGTTTCCTTGGGTGAATCTGGCAGAACAAGTATAAGCTAATTATTCCAGCTAGAAATTCAAAAGTATAGGTTCCTTAATTCTTTTTCTCTTTCATTTACCTTGGCCAGAGACAGGTATAACATGAATCTGTATTATGTTTCATGATGCAACTTGGATTTGAACGAAGTGCTTTCGCAAGCTACCTTTTTGGGCCATTCTTAATGCATTTCATTCAATACATTTTCGATTTGACTAGATTGAACTTTAAGGATACATGTACATGTTTTGATTGCAAATGTGTTTTTTCTTTTTGCTTGCAGTCCTTGATGCAGAGGTAAGATGTTGGATTTGGCAGATATGGGAGGTGCCATGCCCAGTTTGTATCATGACCATGTCCAGGTCTCCACTGCGAAACATGAGGTCCAATTTATTTTCATTGTAATCTGTTTAAATTGTAAAATTTGGAAGGAAAAATCGTTAGAAACTAATGCAGAATGATATAAAGTTGGGTTTGGAGGTAGAGGGCTGCATCTCCTTCCCTTCCTCCTTGTACACTAATGGCTGCTACTTTTGCTGCTATGAATTATTAATCTCACCGAGACCAAAGAAAAGGTCAGAACAGTCGGTGCCTGCCTATAATGAAATTCAGGGACAGCAAAATAGAGTTGGAAAGAAATTTTCAAGTCGTTTTGTTAACAAAAGATATTCTCATGCATGTTATGTTGCCGTGCTTTATCCTTAAATTTTTGTTGGCCTGGTGGTTAAGAACTTTCACACTACACTTGAGGGCCGAGGTCTTGTGATCGAATTAAGAGTTATACTAGCATCAGTCACGGGGGTGAGCCTCCCACCTGTATCAATAGTTCTTAACCACCCCTTTCTCTTAGAGCTTTATAAAGCTTTAAGAGAGAATAGGGAGTAAGGGGGAGCCTCGCTTTATTATAAAATTGACCCAGAAAGTAACCGGCGTCAGGTTAGTATGGTTCTCCTGCTGCTGATTCAGGAGCTTCTTCTTTAGTCTAGGATTCAAAATGATAATCAAATCAAAAGATGCGGCTGGGCGGAAACAAGAAGCAGTCGTCGTGGGGCGGTCATTAGCTGTACTAAGCAAAGAATCGCTTGCTGCCTTTTCTTTGCGAATAACATGTGCAGTAGCCTAGGAGAAGAGAAGCAAGGTACCTTCGCCTACCTCCCATCTATATGATATCTATGGGCAGCACAGTACTGGTAAGAGCTGCTAAGCGTGGTATAACCCTTGTATTAAGAATACAAGTAGAAGTGTCAGATCCAGGTTTATGGTGGTGATATCTGGAGTTAAAAGCCAATTACACTTGGTGGTGACCATGTTACATTAAGATGGATCGTTTTTCAATTTAGTTAAACATACATCAGATGATCAGACTCTTAACTCTGATTGAATTTGAGTGACTCAGTTACAAATTACAATTACTTTAGGCTTTCACCACTAGCAGTGCCTACTCTGCTAGCTATGGATTATATTCTTGGTGTTGGTGGGCTAAGGCTTCAATTAAATCTTTGATTTCCCTGGTCATTCACCTGCCCAGCCAAGAACCATTATCAATCTGAAACAAACAGATTAGCAAGCATAAACTCTCTCTCTCTCTCTCTCTCTCTCTCTCTCTCTCTGAAGAATCATAAATATTATATCATATATGGAGACTGCAGTGCAGAGTAAGCAGTTTAAATTAACGATGGATGGATGTGCATTCCAACAAAAAGAAAAAAGAATGTGTGTGCAATAATGAAGCTTTCGTCTGATAATGATGTTTATTTAAAAAATAAAAAAACAAGTTATAATTAAATTCAATCAGCATATATAATACCACAATTGGTGTGCTAGGTCGTTGGAACACGTGCTAGGTGTAGGATACGTCCACCCTTTTTACGATATTAATTAAATTTCTCTTGTTATATTTGTACTTGTATAATAAGATCAAATTGCTACTTAATTTAATTATATTGTGTTCTCTTGTTATATTTGTACTTGTATAATAAGATCACTGATAATAAAAAATATAACCAAATTAATCACTGTGTTTTCTAAAATTTATAATTTATAGACGCTTGAAAAATTAAAATATAGATTTAAGACAAATAAACATTTACCTATTTACCTAATTGCATAGTAAGTAGCATGATCCAGATGCAGGCACATGGGATGGGAGAAGGGAGAAGATAGGCAAATGGGACGGTAGAGTCCCAAGTTGCAAGTGCAAATAATAGACTAAACAGTGTTAGTGGTCCCCCAGATGATGATAAGGACATAGCATTACTTATCAGAGTTAATCACGGACGGGCCACATAGAAATCTGGAGCTCCAGCGTACGTATTGATCTGCAGTAGTACATATCATTTGTATTTGGTCGGGTAACCCAAACCAATTCACATCACGTGCTAACACGTGTGAGCCCATTTTCAAAGTTGATGCATTCATTCGACCCGGCCAAAGTGGCCCAGTCACCCAACTGAAATATTTTATAATCAGTACTGCCGTTTGTTTTCCTTGCTGTTATATATTATATATATATATATTATATACACACAAATTAATAAAAAGAAGCCAAGCCAAGTCAGAGAAAGCATGAATCAAAGCACATGACTGGTTATATTATACTAGAATAGAATGAATCAAAGGCATGGACCATGGAAACCATGGAAACCATGGAAACATGGAAACATGGGCGGCCTTATAGAAAAGATGCTTTTGCATACTCCAAACTCAATAAAACTTCACATGACCTACCTTGTAGAATAAGCAGTGCTCAAAATGTGCGGTATATTCTATCTTTCTAGATCCTTTTTTTTATATATTTATAATACAAATAGGTTTTTTTTTTAAATATAAAAAATAAAAGTATTAAACAGAGTTGAGTTGAATAATGAATAATTGATTACGATAGTTTAATTCAGTCCACTGCCCAAGTTAATGTTGTAGTAAATGAATGTTAAGCGAAGCTTTGAAAGCAAGTTTCCTCCCGTCGAGTCAAATTGGAGTAGTTTGAAAAATCAATTCAAACCAAACAAAGCGTTAGACAAATTAATGTTCAATAATCGGTCGTATATTTGACTTTCATTTTCATTTCGATCTCTAAATGTTATATATATATATATATATATATATTGGAAGGGACCGAGCGTGGGGCGGTGCTGCTACAGAACTTAGTTGGATTTATGTGCTTCTCAAAAAAGAAAAAACATATATTATATATATATATATATATATATATATATATATATATATGTATATGTATATGCATATGTCACCAACTCGCACGCACATCAAAGACATAATTGGTCTCCCACGCAACGCAACAACAACCAGTTGATACGTAAGGGATGACCATTCATTTGTGCAAACGATTGGAATTTTTTATGACTAACTTTTCTTTACCTTGTACGAAAAGCAAAACCATCCATAGACAATAACACGATTGAGCTCCCAAAAAAATATAAGCCTTTTACCACCAGCGCTCTCTTCAAATTATTTTTTAGCAACTACAAAAATATATTGCAAATTTATGGACCTTTTTCTTTTCTTTCCGTGATCCATTAATATTGGAATACAATTATCACTGCAATTTATTATTATATTTTAAATAAAAATTATTATATTTTATGTGAAATAAATAAGAAAACGAAAACAGAGAAAAAGTGGTGGTGGTACCTACACCAAGCTTAAACAAGGAGATATCCAACTCAACTTATCACAGTCCAAAAAGTTGAACCACATGGCAAACCGTTGACTGTCCATATGTCGAGGCAACACCAAATTAAAATATTTGCAATTACGTTGTCGATATGGACCTTTACTGATCATGTGTTGTGTATGTATTTTTCTCAGTGTCTTCCTCGTAATTCCAACTTAATTTACCTGAAACTACGGTCTTTCTCCTAGTTTCTAAATTATTGAGGTTGCGCCACCCGTAATCCAAGGTTCATCTGCAGTGACACTAATTGTTGGGATTCGCATTATTAATCATTTTAATTTTTTTTATCAAATCTCTTAGTCTTCCCATCCCATCCAGTCCAGTCCCAGTCCAGATGTAGATGCCTAGCAACCTAGATACCTAGATGGTGGGTGGATTCAATATACGTTCGACAGCTCACATGCTGCTGGTTCCCCTCTAATAATACACTGGGACCCCGCAGCCGCCTATTCATCAATTTTACTATCTACATTCGTAACTACTAACTAGAGTGTGGTTTGTTGTTTTTTTGTTTTTTCCGGGTCGAACTAACTAGAGTGGTTTGGCAAACATTAATTAGGTCAGTTTTATAAAGCAATGTATCCGTCTCTTTACATGAGAGTTCAATCTCCCTCCCACTCGTATTACATTGCTTTGTCAAAAAATTAATAAATAGTATTTATAAAAATTTATAAAAAAAAGAATTGATTAAATAGCATTTATAAAAATTTGTTGCCCTGGCCTGGCCTGCATTAAAAAAAGTCAAAATATCCGTCGCTAGTGGGGTATATTAATATAGTTTTTCCTTGCATGTACCCATTTCTTGGCATGAAATCAGAGTTGTAATATGGTGGAGACTGGAAAGCCAGTTCGACTTTGATTTGATTTCACGGCGGGTTTTGAGAATGATTCAAAGCATATGCTATATAGGCTAGCTTCAGAATTTATGGACATTTTGATCCCAAAGTAATGGCATAAACCAACAAAAGTTGCATACTTGCTTGCATTGCACATGGATATTTATAGGCATATACCAAAATACCTACATCAAAGACACGTTTTATTCCACCAGAAAAGGGAGACGAAAGAAACTCAGATTTCGATCTCCATACAAACAAAAAGATAGAAACTCAGATTCCCACTCAAAACACACACATTTTCCGTACACAAAACATGCTTTTTACACTCAAAAGAGTAGATGATAAAGTAGTAGTAGTAGCATAGCCTATGGGATGGGAGTGGTTTTGCTTTCTCACTTCCTAATCTCTCTCTGACCAAAAAAAAAAAAAAA